ACCGATGTGAGATCTCACAATCCATCCTCTTATGAGCCTAACGTCCACACTGGCACTCATTCCCCTCGACAATCAATATGGAATCTCCCAATCCACTCCTTTGGGACCTAGTGTCCTCGCTGGCACACTACCTAGTGTTCACCCCTTCAGGACTCACCATCTTTTCTTGCTGGCACACCGCCTGGTGTCCACCCCTTTCGAGACTCACCGTCCTTACACCCCCTTCAAGACCTAGTGTTCTCACTGGCACACCACCTAGTGTCCACCTCCTTTAGAGCTCACCATCCTTCCTTACTAGCACACCGCCTAGTGTCCACCCCTTTCGAGGCTCATCGTCCTTACTAGCACATTTCTTGGTGTCTGGCTCTAATACCACTTGTAATGGTACAAGCCCAGTACTAATAATTATTGTCTTTTTTGGATTTTCCCTTTTAGACTTCTCCTCAAAATTTTAAAAATATATATGCTAGGAAGATGTTTTCACATCCTTATAGAAAAAATATTTCGTTTCCTTCTTCGACCAATGGCAGTGAGGAATAAGAAACAAATGAGGATGAAAGTAGAAAGTTGATGATACCTGATTGGTAGTGGCAGTAATGATACTGATGGGCAGGGTAAAAGTCAAAGCTAGAACCGCAGCAAAGATGAGTCCCCACCACGGCATTTGGATCTGATCTTTCATGAAAATACACAATGCAAGGGCCAAAATAATGGACAAAAAAAGAAGCATGTGGAACCACCAAGCGGGTATATCCTTATACTTCTTCATCAATTTTGTATGAATATCTTCTTTACTTCTATAAGAAGCCCGGAACTGTTGGTATATTTCCCTGCAAAAACCAACTCATATATGATCTATGCAATCTAAAATTAAGTGAAAGATGGCAGGACAAAACTTCAGGCGCAAGGGCATTTTACCAATTAGAACTCACTTTCCATTGAACAGGGCAACATGAGAGAGTGTAGAAACGATAGCAGCAAAACCAATGCCATATGAAAGTGAAAAGAACACACTGAGATTGATCCTCCCCTGCTTCTCGTAAGCCTCCATGTCAATCTCAAACTTGTCATTCACAATGGCGGACACGTTATAAATCTGACCTTGGGCGTTGTAGAGATGAGAGGAGAAGATGGGGAAGTTTTTGGCATTGTAGAGATTGGTCTTCCAGTAGGCAATTGGGAGCAAAATGTACATGATAACAAGGTAGCCGACAGCAACATTGACAATGGCGAAGAAAGGGCTGACAAGAGGGCTGTAAAGGAAAGAGGCAATGACGGACCAGTCGAGAGAGAAGGCGCCGAGGCCGAGGCCACGCATGCCAGAGCCGAGCTGCTGGGCTGTGACGGATCGGGGGTAAATCCAGCACACCCATGAGATGGTTGACAGAGTTGGGAAGAGATAACCAGGGACTACGTACCAAGAGAAGCTGCATATCAGTGCAATCAAGAAGAATTTGCCTCTTGACATCCGACTTTCATCTTTCTCGTGCATGGCTCTGTGCACCACAAAAGAATTTGATGAATACAGTTTGACCTGATTTCGAAAATTTACCAATTTTTTAATAATAGGTTAGAAATACCAACTCTCCATAATAACATGATATTATTCACTTTAAGTATAAACTCTCGTGTCTTTGCTTTGAACTTCCCCAAAAAGTTTCGTATCAATGAAGATGTACTCCTCACTTATAAACTCATGATCATTTATTAAATTAGCGTGAACTCCCTTTCAACCCTTCTCAACATGTTATAGATCCAAATCACTTTTAAAATTCACTCTTATAAGTCCATAATAGTTTTTTTAAATAATTTCTCAGACCAGACAGCTAGAGAGGAGATAATTTTTTTTTTAAAAATAAAGAAAACTTGCCAAAAAAATCTAAGAGAGCTAGGAAGCGAAAGAATACTCTTTTTTTTCTTAATAAATAAATAAATAAATATTTAGTAAAACATTTAATGACGTAGGAGAGTGTAATATATAAACATAATAAATTTGAATTTTTTTTTATGTAAAACATTGAAATGAAAAGCTTCATGGCAGCTAGAATTTTATATATTAGTGACTTCAATTAATTATCGATGAAATAATCCACATTTCAAACAAAATAGTAGAATATATATAAGATTTTATCTTAGAAATTATTTTTTTAAAATTAATTAATTATTAAATTCTTTCAACTCTAAGTAAACATGAACGATTGTTATTTAATTCAAAAAAAAATTATATCAATAATGTAGTATTTAACACGTGGCATGCATGCAATTGCATGCAACCCCACCCGGCACCCACCCTCGGGAAGAAACAAATAATAAAAGAGAGTAAAAAAGAGGTGCCGAACATTTTAGCAAGTTCAAAACAAATTTCCAAAAACCCTGGTAAAATGTTTTGTAATAATGTTATATTGCACTCTAATATTCAATAATTAATACATATATATATATATATATATATATATAATATTGAAAAATCTGAAGAAAAATAATTCTGTTTTAAAGAAAGAAACATAAATAATAAAAAATTAAATGAAAGTACATGCATAATTTGATTTCCTAATTTATATTTTTAGTCAGGTATATATATTTCATATCTGTCCTTAAATCTTTTAAGGAAATAATAATAATAATAAATATATATATATATATATATATATATATATATATATATATATATATATATATTTATTTCGGTTGGAGTTCAGAACAATATTATATCATTAGAGAGAATCATGTTAATCTAGTGTTCATCTAACATGTATCAGAATCATGCCCTAACTTAACTATGTCAATAGTATCTTCAAATATCGAAGAAAATACTCTAAAAGAAAAAGAGTAGGCATAGTAAAAAATGTCTAAAACTCTAAAAGAAAAAGAGTCTACAAGTAGGGAGGAGTTGAAATACTATCCATTGGTATGAAGCGTTTTGAAAAAACCCAAAATAAAACTATTAAAACAAAGCTATTAGAATTGATGCTGAAAGTGTATAAATCTAACTCATGAGAAAGTAATAGTAGAAATGGGAAATTCAAGCTGAAAACAGAATCGTTGTTTCTAACCTGAACAGAGAGACCTGCACCAGACTGCTCGGCCACCACATATGTGCAGGATTCACAACGTATTTCCGCAGTATACCGGCCCATCCATATCCCATAACCTGCTCCAAATACCGAAAAATATATTAAAAGTTCTTGTAACTGAGTTGACTCGTTCCGACTTCAAGAACTCAACAGTTCTTGTAAGTCCGTCGAATTCAAGAAAATTACCTGCGTCGTTATAACAAGAATCCAACCGGTTGAGAACGAGATTTTCCGATGATAAAACGCCTTTATAATATCGACTATTCCGATTGCATAAGCGGCGCCGTTTCCGAATGCAGAACCGGCATTAGCGAAAATCGAAATCAGGACATGTTCTTTCATATTGAACGGTCCTGGATTAAGCGAGAACTCTCTGTCTCCAAATCCAGGGATCCGAAACTTCGTCGTCGGAAGAACATTCGCCATAAACCGGCCGATCGGCAGCGTCGCGACCTGAACGGAGATCATCGAAATGACGAGCGGCTCTGTACGGTAGCCAAAGAAAGTGTTGAGAAACGAGAGGAGTACACAAGAAATCAATCCAAGAAACCACATCCGGAAGGTCCATACGGGGATTGAAGTATCGTCTTCTGTCGAGACTGTGAGACGAACCTGTTCGATTGGCGTAATTTCGTCGTCGTCGTCGTCGTCGATGGGATCGCATTCGCGAGAGTTCGCTTCAGAGTCGATCTCGCAGGGAGCCATGGCGGACGAGAGAGTGAGGAGGGAGAATTTGATTGGTAGATGAAATGGAGTGTGGAGTGGAAGAGGGAGTCTGAATCTGCAGAGTGAGGAATTGAGGGAAACGTTTGCGTTGGCGCTTTGATCGAGTAAATTGATTTTTTTTACGTTGGATTAATTATGGCAAGAACGTAGTGGCTCGGGAATTTCACTTACTAATTTTTGTTTGTTTTGCGGGTTTTGCTAATTAATATTCCTTCCTAAATAGCTAAATTGACCACCTGTCGTAATTATTGGGTGAACTTATAAGCAAATAATACTATTTTCAGATATTTTTTCCAAAAACTAAAAATAAAGTCATCAATTATCATAATTATATATATAAATTAGTATAAATTATATCTATATATATATATATAAAAACTCTATACATATTAGTTAGTAAAATAAAATAGGTAGAGTATTGAGTCAGATCCATTTGAAAACTTAACTTTCTTTCGTGTATCAATTTAGATTTTATTTAAAAAAAAACATATACACCTAAGTGCAAATATCAATAAAAATCCTAAACTTACATTATAGAAACATTTTAGAAAGTTAATTAAATTATAAGTTGATACATATTTGAAATAATGTTATTTTTAATTTAGATTGTGAGTGTGATTACGCTAATTTAGTCAGTCATAGAGTTTATGGTGATATTAGCTAATCTATCGTAAATACAATAAAGAGTGATAATAAATGGACGGAACAATTATGTTCACAATTTTCTGGGATTGTATCTAAACAACAAGGTCCTCGAAGAGCCCTCTACTGTTAGAGACAAGAGCCCCCTCATATAGTGCATCACATGGTATAGACACACGGAGAATTTGATTTCAAATGGTTTACGGATCAAATGAATCGATAAAGTTCTACAAATTTTAAAAGTCAGAGAGCCATTCAACCTAAAACAATTTTTTAAAACTTGTTTTAAAATCTTAATTGGAAACTTTTTTTTTTTTTTTTTTTTTTTTTTTTTTTTTTTTTTTTTTTTTTT